GGAGCCGGCGGCGACGGCACCCGACGTGGACTCGCTGGGCTTCCAAGCCATGGACCGCAACGTGCCGGGGCTGTCCCATGTCATCCTCCAGAAGCTCAACATGAAGAGCTACGAGGACTACAAGTGAGTGAGCACCCATGGGTGCTGCTATGGGCGCGTGTTTTCCCCTGTGACAGAGCATCCTGTGTGTGTCCCAGCAGCTGGAACATCACCCCTGGCTCATCCCCACCCTCCTGGCTCAGTCTGCATGTGGGGTGCTCTGATGGGGCTCCTGGGTGCACCCGTCCATCTGCTCATTCCTGGATCCCAATCCTGGGACAGGATGCTCCTGACTGGAGCTAAAAGTCCTGGTAGCCTCGGAGGGATGAGTAACCTCAATGGGATGGCAGAGCAGCTTGTGCTGGATTCTCCTCACTCCCCCTGCATGTCCAGGTCTGCTATGGATGGGAGGAAAAGCGGCAACGATTTTGGCATCCGGACTTACTTCGAGATGTTCCAGAAGATGGAGGACACCTTCAAGTTCTGTGCTGAGTGCAAGAAGCTCCCGGGTGCTCTCCCAGACCCCAAAAGCCTCCGGCGATGCAAGAGGTATGGCAGGGGATGTGGTTTGATGGCATGGGGATGGAGCCATCCCCTTGTTTCTAACCAGGGTGAAGCCAGGGGAGTCTTGTCCCAACACCTACCTCCAGCCACAGGGCACCCCCAAACCAGTGACACAGCCCTGGGAGGGGTGTCAGGGAGCCTTGGTTTGGTGGGCAGGATCCTTTCCGCCTCCATGTCTGGGCACGCTGCCTGTGTCCCCAGGTGCCAAAACGTGTACTACTGCGGTGTGGCATGCCAGCGTGCCAACTGGCCGCTGCACAAGAAGTTCTGCAAGAAGCTGAAGCTGGTGGCCCTGGATCGGCTGGTGGAGTGGCTTGTCTTCACAGGTGGGGCAGGGGGCACTGTATGTACCCCCCAGGCCTGCCTGACCCCCACACCGTGCTGTACAGGTCCTGTGGAGGGATGGGGGTGTCCCTCCTTCTGGCTTGTGGGTCCAGTGGGACCACAGCCTAGGCTGTGGGGCCACCATTGTGACCCCCAACTCTTCTCCCTACCCCCCCAGGAGACATCCCCTTTCCCACAGAGACCTGGACAAAACCTGCCTGGGACGTGGAGGGCTGGGAGGACTGGTTCTCCATGCAGGAGCAGCTGGAGGAGAAGCTGGGCGCCATCCTGGCCGGGCGGTACATGACCCTACTGTGGGCCAACGCTGGGAAGCCACGGCCAGAGGACAGGGAGCTGCGTGACTCCATTCGGCGCCTGGTCACTGACTTCCACTCACGGCCACTCACCATCGGCTTGGGGCTGCGGCTCTTCAGCATTGAGCCCCTCGCCAAGGCCCTCACCGTGCATGTGGTGGGAGCGTCCCATGTGGAGACCCTCAATGCCCGGCTGACGGACTACGACGAGCTGATGCGGATGTTCCCGGGGCACCGTGGCATGGAGGTGGGAAGCGTCTATCTCAGCAGCTACAAGGGGCTCTACCATGACTTCTGGGAAAGCCATGTGGAGACCAAGCTAGCCGCCCGCCCCAACCTGGTGGTGGGCTTTCATCCAGGTGAGTGCCTGCACCTCCTGTATGAAGACAGGCTGAGAAAGTTGGGGCTGTTCAGCCTGGAGCAGAGAAGACTGTGTGGAGACCTCATAGCAGC